CCGCGATCCATAGATAGTGGATGATGGTGCTAACGAAGAGGGATGTTTTTTTTAATTTGTTTTGCATTAGCACAGACCAGCTGTGCCAACAATCCACAAATTTAGATTCTTATTTTATTTTTTATCTTAGACTTGGATATCCATTGTAAAAACTGCAAACCAATGATTTAACACAGAGCCATACAGCTGATATGCACCATTTGGATCTTAGAAAAACTTGTCACCTTATGATTTGAGAAATGATTACTGATTAATTTAGCTGTCCAGACTTCCCCTGAAATCTGCACATTTTTAATCCACTAAGATAATCGTGTGGCTAAGTCCTCCCGTAATCCGTGGTACACTGTGTTGGCGCAAAAATGTTTGCGGATTATCAGTCTAACTGCCGCAGTGCTGTACAGACATAGCCATGGATTATGGTCATCTCTGGTGCAGTTGTTTAAACATGTCTCCAAGATCTACATGTTGAACACATCTTTCTCCACAAATGCTACCAAACAGTGATGTCCATGTGAACCTATTAAGTACTTTCTCACATATTCATAATGACGTCACCTTGCTGCTGCTCTATATAAGAATGGGAGACAGAGGAGAGCCTCACCATTCTGGCGAATTGCCCGATGATGCTGTATGCAATTATCAGCGAAACGTCGTACTACTCAAATTGTAAATGTTGTGGTTTCACGCTTTAACACACCGGTGGGCTAAAGCAATGAACTATTTGTCTTTTATTTTATTATGTTTTATTTTTATTATTTATAACTTCCCTTCCACGTGACTTTACCAAAATAACCAAGAAGATTAATTTATTAGGTATAGCCCTGTGAGCCATTTGACTCTTGAATCGGGTGCAACCGCAACAAACAAAAAACAAAAACATGAAAAAAAAACATCTTAAAGTGACTATGTGCAAACAGAAAATCCAAGAAAAGACAGCAAAATATTGCAGAAAAATCACTGTACACCAACCCTGTGCAAATATCCCAGCGGGATGCAAGTCAAACAACAACAACAACCACAAGACAACTTAGATTAAGGCCATCAGTCTAACTCTGTACTACAACAAACAAATACTACAACAAACAGACATGAAGCTTTGGGACTGCAGGAATCCATACTCTTTGGCTCTTTCGATAAAGTCACGTGGGTAGGAAAATAATAAAATAGATCACGACGTTTCGATCGCCACACAAGCAACCGTGTTCAGGTGCTCGTGTGGTGGTCGAAGCGTCGTGATCCATTATTATATTTCTACCCACGTGACTTTACCGAAAGAACCAAAGAGTATAGTTTGTTGTCCTTCCCCCACACCTCCAAACAGCACAGTTGGCTACCTACGGTGCGAAATAAGTTTAAAATACAAATCTACATACATTGGTCCAGTTGTAATTCTGGCTTATGCATGTGTTGCGCGCTACGAGGGTTGCGAATTGATTTGTTTCCAGCAAATGAAAATTAATGAACCTTGGGATTTGAACTGTCCCTTGAGTGCACTCCAATATGAATCCTCCGATTTCAAGATTGAAATGCATCCCTCGGTCAGGGACCTGTGAGTCTCGAGTCAGCATTGTGGAAATGAGCAAAAGCATCCTCAAGGACTGAGAACTCGTCTATCATACGAGTGGTGGAGATAGATCCCAGACCTTCTCAAAAGAAACGGACTGGTATGCCAACAACAGCCGCAGGATATCAGGACTTGTGATCACCAGTTTTCCCTGTGGTTATTGTATAGCGACAGTGGGGGATTTGTGGCACACCTTAGATTGCAAATTGTTTTTTCAGCAGTCTGATATTTGGACTGTTTTAATGTGTAATTGGAAATTGTGAGGGAAATTGTGGTGCTTTTTCCCCCATTGAGTAATAATGTCCATAACACATATTTCTATTTTTAAACAATATAGTCACCTAATTTCCTTAAGTCAATTATAAGCACATGCACAATGTGATGCATTTATGACTTTTGCCCATTTCACTTTTTTTTCCTTGAACAGGCGTGCGTTCAATTTGAGTCATGCCGTTCTCATTAGCAGCTTGCGTCAGCTGTAAAAAAAAATGTGTTCCTGATTTGTGCGTCATTTGCATTCCTTTATCAATGCCAATGAAAATGTTAAAGAAATGAACATGCTAATTATTAATTTACCGTCAAATTCTCATTAAAAGATTTTCATCCAAATTGCACCCTGGTTGTGTGCTCTCGTTGTCACGTCACGAGACTAAGTATCCTCAGGGATCTCTCGCACGGCAGTGCTCCCCTCGTGTTATAGAATGGCCCACGGAAGCAGATGCCACAGGGCTACCGCTTAAGGCCCCTTTTCCCCAGAATTGTGGTTGGTTATGTTTAATCTTGACCCAAGGGAAGAGACTGGCCAATGGCATTTTCCCTCCTGCGTAATGACTGCTGGAGAAAAAATCCCAGCAATCAACGATGTTAATATGCTCGAATACCAGATTTCAGGATCAACACTGAGCTGCATGGCTCTTTGCAGAAGCGACGTGACCACAAATGAGAGCCCAATGAAGTGGTTCATCCGTGTGGAAATTTGTAGCAGCCAAATACTCTCAAATGCACGTTTCGAAATGTGGAGGGAAAAACCCAGAGGGCCCAGAAAAAAATCCACACGACCACGAGGAGAACAATTTAGTGGCTTATCACGGGGAGAACATGCAAACTCCAAATATACAGGCATCAGGGTCTGGATCGAATCCACATCCTCCTGTATAACAGGCGAGGTAGTTAGCATCTCACTACCATGGTGAGATAGGGTAGTTTCTGGACTGACTTGATGTCTCCTTGTTGCTGTGCTCGTGTAAAAAATAGTACAGCTTGGATCTCCAGACACCCTGGCTACCTTCAGATGTGTTTAGGACACCGGAACAAAGCAATGGTTTTGCTCTTGTACCTGGGACAGTCTGATGCCCGGCACATAGTTGCTACTCAATTCAACGAGGCAGAAGATCCTCTTAACTTAAAAAATTAATGTCATCATCATTATCATTGTCGATTTGAAGTTTTCGTGACTGCAGGAATCCATACTCTGGTTCTTTCGGTAAAGTCACGTAGGTAGAAAAAATAATAAAAGAAAACACGACGTTTCGGTCGCAACACAAGCGTCCGTCTTCAGGTGAGAAAAATTATCTGCTGTTGTGGCTTTATATAGGCACGGGAGGGGGGGGGGGGAGGAGTTTGGCTGTAGGATTTCACAGAGGAGAGGGGGGAGGGTTTGTGGCATGCATGGACGGGTGGGGCTGGAGAAATTAGCAAGTAAATGGACTTGAATTAGTAATCGGATAACAAGACACACGGGTGGGTGAGTGAAAATCACAGCGGTTAAAACTTGACGCGGTTTATCACATCCTTCCAATGATTGCTCAATCTGTATCCATCTTCTCGATTAAAGTTTTGTCTGTGTTTGTATATCTGGATGGCTTCGTGAACACATCTCTGATGGTGGCCCGAGGGTTTGCAGAGCACCTTGGTCTCGGAGAAAGCAATGTCGTGTGTGCCCACAGTGTTGAAGAAATTATCCACCACCGCCAAAGGTGTTGAGACACGTCGCTTCGTGTCACCAATGTAACAGCTGCCGCAGACACAACTCAGCTTATAGACACCAGGACATTGCATGTCAGGAATCGCATCCTTCACCGATGGGATCAAATCACGGATTTGTGTACTTTACTGAACCGAACTTGGATCTTGTGTTTGTTTAAGATTTTGGCAATCCTTTTGGTAACCCCTGCTATGTATGGCAAGGTGATGGTTTTGATTTGGTCCTCAGATGGTTCTCTACCCATGGTTGGGGATGCAGCTTTGCGGATTGTGTGGTCAGAATATCCATTCCTCCTGAGAGCCTGGCATACATGATCAAGCTCACTGCAACGGGCCCTATGGTGTAGTGTTTTGATGAGGGAATTCTTCTGGGCTGGATGGTGGTGGGAGTCAGGCTTTAGATAGGAATCGTGTGGGTGGCTTTCCTATAGACAGTGTGTCCCAACGAGCCATCAGGTCTCTTCTCGATCAAAACATCCAGGAATGGTAGCTTGCCATCATTTTCCACTTCCATGGTGAATTTGATAGATGGGTGTATGGAATTGTTCTTACGGTGGAAGAGTGTGTTGGCTAAGCCCATCTCTTTGTGGGATGTAGTCTTAGGGGATTACCCCTTGGCATAGGAAAGTGGAATTTACATGACTGTCTTAGGGCAGCCAATATTTATGATCACCACCACATGCATATTTGAACAAAAAAAGCCCAGACAGTGATGACACTTGTCTTAAAAAACAGGAAACATGTACCAAGAAACACAACGATGAAAATGCATTCATGATAAACAAAAATGTGGACTAAATCGCGTTAATGTAAATGTGTCGTACACCCACCTCCACCGAACGCAGCCAATTAACATGGTTGTCACGTGAACATTTATTACGACTTCAGCACACCGGTGTGTTACAATTCAGTACAGTTATGCATCCCTCGTTTAGCGCGGTAGATGTGTTCCTTAAAAAGCGTTAAGCGAAAAAATGTCCCCATAAATGTTGTAATGATAACGTTTAGTGAGATACGAAGTACTACTACTACTACGCACATATGGTAAGATGGTTATGACAAATAACTGAGGGTACGCCGTTGCGTTACTCTATCATTCCACGTACCGCATCACTGCACTGCTCAGCCACGCAACCAAGAAAGTAGTTCGTTATCGACTGCTCAGAAACCGCGTTATAAAGGTGCGTGTTCCACGTCATAATGGTGTGCATTCCGCGTCGTGAGAAGTGTTCCCAGATGGAAGAACTGCGTTTGAGCGAAAACGCGCTGTAGTGTGAACACCACGGAGGAACGCGAAAACTTACCGTACGACATTTACGTTGCCGATTACAACCAGCACCACCAGGCATTTCCCAGAAATGCGAAGGCGTCGTCCCGTTGTGGGTCTTAAAATAACGCAGTCGGTCCAATCGGCATCCTGCTCAGCGCTCGCCGGCCGAGCCGTGCATCGTACCTTTGTGCTTTTTGGAGCCGTCCCGCTTCGGGGCATCGCACGATGACGATGACGGGCTGGGTTGGCCTTGGTAAGCCATGCCGTAGTCGGACGAGGAAGGGGAAGAGCTGGCCATGCCTCCATAGTCGTCGATGTCATCGTCCTCGGGCGGGCGCTTGATGGGTGGAGCGTGAGTCAGGCAGCCGCGGCTACTCATCGCCACCGCTCCTGAAAGCAGGAAGGACAGTCGGCAGTGCAGCACCGCGCCATTACTCAACTACCTTATAGGGCGGCAGCCTGGGGACTGAGTAGCCAACTAGCTTTGTGGGGCAGATCTCTTTGAAGCCCGCCTTGTTTTAAAACGTTATAATAATTTCAATTGCGGTGCCCCTCAAGTCTTCGTGCAACTCCAAAAATGTGTTAAAATGTTTGCGGAGTTGGGATTTTTGACTATGGGAGTTGCCACAAACTGCGGGAAGGGTCATACATTTGAGGATTTGCGGATGTTTGGAATTTCATCGTACCCTACCAAAGTGACTCGTTACAGAATAAGAGGCAATGCAAATGGTGAGAATTAAATAAGGTATTTTCTTCACCTCAGCCATGTAACACCTGTAAAGCACAACTGGCATAAATAAAATGGGGATTAAAGATAAAAACTGGTACATGCAACCCACGTATTCTCCCCCGCTTAACAAGTGCTCTTACTTTTGAACGATGTATGGAGCCAACCAGCAGAGCGTACTCTTGTGTGTGTAGGGAGACAAGATACGCAATGGCACTTAACTTGACTCTTATGTGGAATACTGAATTGTTTGCCCTGGCTATGAGGAAGCCAATTTGCACCCATTTTCAGTCGTGCATTACACAATTCACAAAAACAAGCACAAAAGGCTATTTAAATTAGCCATTACACAATTCTCCCTTTGACAATTTGGCTTTACCAATTTTCGGCTGGGGTAAAATTACCAATGTTCCCAGTCTGTTAAATGTACCGTCTCTCAAAAGCACTTTGGGTTATTTCTTTATTTTTATCAGGGACAAAAAGGAGAGGGGGGGTGGAAGAAACACTTTTAGACATTCAACCTGCTCGTTTTAACATAGTTGGTGCTTTTAAAACTGGAAGATGCATGTCAAAGATACAACGCGTATTTGAACACGGTCCGTCAGTCGGTATAGACATTGTGCGTGAGTGCATCATCAGTATACGGACAGCCTGATCTGATGAGTGCAATGTCAATCTACCCTCCAGCTCTTCGCTCGTGCCAGTTTCACCCATCTGTATTATGTGCGCCTAAAGCTGTTGCGATTGCCAGTAAATGCGGCGGCAAGCGGTCATAAAACTGTAAATTAGGTCACGGATATAATTCACTGCCAAACAAATCGCCAAGCATACACTAGGAAATGTTAACGCTAATTAAGCCTTAGATAGCTTTTGCATGCCATTTACTGAAACTAAAGTTACACCGAGTTCCCATTTATGTACGGGGATGATTCAATTTGCAGCCCAGGATACCCACTGATATGTATATGTGCATGCACATGATGTGTGTGCTCTTATTCACTTGCATGCAAATCAATGAGGCCGGCCAGAACAGGGCAGCTGGGTTAGACCGGCATGGGATGTTTCCCCACCCCACCCCACTACCTTCAAGATCTTCGATGATCTGCTTTAGTTTGGCCGATTCAGTTGGAAGGAATTTACACTGAATGTTAAGAATGTTAAATATGTTACGGAGCCACTGAACCACTTAAGGTTATTGAAAATATAAAACAAATACATAAAATTAAACGCATGCTAGGAGCTAATACACTGAGTACCTGTCACGTACATAACCTTTGCAGAGCATGAAAACGTGCAGGATGACAGTAAAAAAAAAACATATTGGTCACTTAAATTTTCTGATGTGTGTTTTCATGCGCACAGGCTACGGCATTTGTTTTACACTGGCACTCAGAATGCGTGCATAATTCACGCACACTACTCAGTACTGCATAAAAAAAGATGATGATAAATGCCCTTGAATTGTAATAGCATGATAACTGTCCTTGAATTGCAACAGCAAATTTAATGCAAAATTTTCCATAAGGCTACAATGGCATCAAATGTACTCAAAGGAACCGATGAATAACCACCGATCTCAACTGCTACTTAATATAAAATGCATCATGAATATACAGACAGCCAGACCTGATGAGTGACAACAGCAATGGAAATGTTAAAGAGCTGCACAGCTTACCTGCCATAGCCTGCACTTCAACTGCCCTTGCTCATCATGGTCCATATATACAAAGAGATCCCTCTGCAAAGGCAAAACATTCAACAAAAATATCACTTTTCAAATGCGGAGCATTACTTCACAATGCCAACGGTTGCACCATCAGAGCTGTCAACCCCACTGCCATTTTTCAGAACCGAAGCCAAGCTGCCGCACAGAGAATTAATTCTCGCAGTATTCTGGCAACAGCCCGTGACACCGAGAAGCAGCTTCGACCAAGCACTCACGTTGCAGAGTACATTCCATTCCCTTCGTTTGGTATTCCAGGAAACAGAATGTACTCACTAACGCAGGGTTCATCATCTCAACTCAGTTACCAAATATGCCCATAGCAAAAAAGACAAAGATCCCCCCCCTTCCCCCGTATAGCCAAAGCATAGTGCTGTTAGCGAGTAGCACCTACGAAGGCCGGAACGGTAATCGTCACTGGTGTTGGCCGTGAGCGGGAATCGAACTCGGGTCGCTGGGTTCGTTGCACAGCGCACCACTCACTACACCGCCACTCCCCACCACAGCACAAAAAAAAGACAAAGATGTACCCGTATAGCCTAAACAGACTGTTGGGGCAAGTGCTGTTAGCAAGCACCTATGAAGGCCAGAACGATACACGAGGGGGGTGGGTGGCCAGCAACCACGCCCGACCGCCTTTGTCTCCCAAGTGCCGATGTTTACACACAGTACCAGGTACTCGTTTGAGGCTGAGTCAACCTAGGGGAGGCCCAGGACCGGTTCAAATCATTGTCACCGGTGTTGGCAGTGAGCAGGAATCAAACTCGGGTCGCCGGATTCATCGCGTAATGCGCTAACCGCTACACCCCCGCTCCCTAGCACACACACACACAGTTACACATTTACAGAGTAAATGCTTGAAAACATCTTTATGTTCGTTTTTGCCAAAAGGCTCCGGATTCGTCTGTCTCCTTAAAGTGCAGCACCGTAAATATTTGTCTTGAAAGCATACTGCGGCTGCTCACAGCAAAACAAAAAAGAAATGGAAAGCCAGTCAATTAAGGCAGAGTATGTTTGTCTCTGCTACAAGGTGAAACGATTAACCGCACTTTAATATTCAAGTATGTCAGTTTACTGAGAATTGCAAGATGCGGTTTTTGGTTTCAGGTTGCTTTGTAGAATGTCCATGCGAGAGGTTTGAAAGACAACGATTTTGGGATAATTTTCCATGTGCATATATTACACGCATTTATTTTTAATACTGATGATCAATTATATACACAATGAATTTCATGTACACGTTCTGAAGAGTGTTATGCAAGTTGAAACCTAATCAATTGGGTTGCAGAACATTTCTATGAAATGGACCATATTGGTAAATTCATAATAATTATTGGCTATAAAACACAATATTTAGAATTTAGCGATGTACATTTCCAAACGGTGAGATGCTTTGCATAGAATCCAAGTATGTAGCCCATCCTTTATGCATTTTCAATTGGATAAAATCGATGAATATGAACAGATCTTTTGTGGTACACTATAAAGGTTTGAATACTGGAAATGCAATTATTAATCTTGTCCTCAAATGCACCCAAAACAACATCCATACGAGGCAGTGTAATGTGGCACGAGAGCCCTTTAACTGCCTACAATTGACCCTCATCATCATCATGAGCCATGCCCAATCCGCCGCTGGATGAAGGCCTCCCCTTGCCGCTCTCACCCCTCCCCATGATCCCGCGATCCAACGATCCACTCAGCACCTGCACACGAACTGATCTCATCGCTGCAGCTCTTCTCTGGACAGCCTCATGGACGCGTTTCTTTCCTTTGGCTGCCACTCGTATTATTCTTGATCATCAGCCAACGTCCCTTCCAGTGCAGGGTCCTGTCTCGGCCTGATTTTTTCTTAATCGGTTGAATGAAGTCATCGATCTGCATGTGTTTTATAAATCCATATGTCCCTCCCCCTCTGTCTCGCAGTGTAATTCCAAACACGCCTCTGCGCACTTTTCCGTTTTTGTTTGAATTCTTTAGCTAATGACCACGTTTCCTGAACCATGTGTCACAGCCGATGGTACACGTCGATTAAAAATGTAGCGACCAAAATTTTGGAGACAAAACTTATCCTCGCTTTTTACTGCTGCGAGTGCGTCGGCAACACTTTTGTAGTGGAGGCGCTTTAATTCCCCTTCCCATAGTCCTTGTGTACTCACAAACCAAGTGATGTGTGTGGTATCGATCACAAGCATCACGACAGGGTTATATTTTACCCACGGCTGAGACCCTGGATTCGAAGCCACGCAGGTACACAAAAAGTTAAGCAAAGCTCCAGAGTGCAGTGAATGTAATGGTCCTAGATTTGAAGCTTTCGTGACTGCAAGGATTCATACTCTTAGTTTTTTTTCCGGTAAAGTCACGTAGGTGAAAAAAAATGAATGCATTTAGTTATGAATTTAGCTATTTTCACTTATTATAATTTTATTTTATTATTATTATTATTTTACCAACGTGACTTTACCAAAAAAACCCTAGGAGAATGTAATGGTCACCAATCGGTCAGAGATATTATTGTAAAAAACCCTATATAATTGTACGCATGCTCATCATCAGCAGCCATGATCCATCAACTGCTGTAGGAAGTCCCCCCCCCCAAAGCTAGTCTCATCTATGAGGCACAACAATTCACCGAGCTCTTAAACTCAAGCTGATTTATTTGCTCCATCTCCGTGATAGACATATCTTGGAAAACTGAATTTAAATAACGAAACTTGGCAATATACTACCAACGTAACTTAAGAAGACTGTTATTTTGTTCAATTAATATATCACGTGATAAAACGCATATCGGGAGCATGGACATTGATGAAGGAAATGGAACCGAAGCTGTCAAGTGCAAATTGAAACATGTAGAAAGCGTGTGCTTGGACTCACACAGAGGGCCGGCCAAGAGGAACACGTGGGTCAGAGAACATTCGGAAGTTAGAGATCTCATATCGGCACACCCTGCCAAATAAAAATGCAGATTATGTTAACGTTTGGCATCCGATAATGCAAAATGCAACAAATATTGCTCTAAATATTGATGTTCTCTCTTCGTGAGAAAGATAAGAGGAATATTTGTTATATTCCCCTGCTCCCTCATTGTTTTCCCTTGACATTACCTCCAATGTGTTTTGTTATTGAACATTGTATGGTAAGTTTAGATAAAATGTTTCATCATGTTTAGACAAAAGGTATGTACAACGGTTCGCTACGTAGGTTCCGCGAAAGAAATTCAACATACCTACAAATGACGTTATTTAGAAGTAAATACATTAAACAATAAACGGTTGAGAAGCACATTACTTATAAAGAACATCTTCACAGACCTGAATAAAAATGTAAGTGACACTTTGTGCATATCTAAAATTATTATAGATGTTTATTTTTAATAACAGGAACATTCAAATAATGAATTTTATATATATATTTGTTTTACGTGATAAAAGATCAATACTTTTATTTGTATTCTCCTGAAATCCTCCTGGTATGTATTCCACACCTGCCTTGCCAGGACACAATGGAACTCCTAACAGCTAACCCCCTTGTGATCAATTGTAAACTTGTAGATTCAGATCCTGGAGTGGGGGCATGCTTTTTATCCCATCGACCGCTCTTTGGGTCAATACGAATGAGTGCTAACTTTTGCGAGAAGTCAAGAGTGGTTGGTTGTCAAGTGGAGGAAATGGTCTAGCCACGCAAAAGTGGAATTTACAAGACTGGGTCACAGTGTGCGTGCGTGCTTTGGAGAGACAGGCACCACGACACGCTCGATGGAGCCCGGGTTTGGTGGTGGGGGGGGAGACACTTTGACTCGTCCACCACTGACAGAGTTACACGATTTTTATAGGGACATTATTTAGACGGCTTTCACCTCAACGAAAACGACTCGTTGCAAAAGAGACACACGATGCCACGAAGATGCAATGATACACCACGTGAAGTGAAATTCCACTTGTACGGCAAAACACAATTTATATTGATGTAGATGGCCTCATTTAAATGGAAGCCAGACAGATCAAATGTCAACGGATATATATTTTTAATTCGACTGCAGCCGTGGCACACACACACACACGAATACACCTTGGTGCCCTTTAGCAGCTGACGTCAATCTTGCCCTCATGTCACGGCTGGGAAGGCTACGGGCTCCACTGCACCAAACAGTGGCTAACATCGTGTCCCGTCTCGAGGCTGCATTGATTTCCCCGTGCCGTGTCTGTACAAACTGCTCCCGTACGAGCAATACACTCAATGCCTAACAGCAATGCATATGTGAATGCATTGCCGTACATTATAGAGCCGACCCTTCTCCGCAAACTGCTGAGGCCAGGTGCTGCCGTGATAATAAAAAATTAACCCGTAAAAACAAAGTTTTTCACTATAAATGCTTTATATGCGTGGCGGCTAGAGTCCTCTCGTCCTCTGGCTTGAGATGGCTGCCACCTATGGGTCAGATGATTGCATGCAACCATTAAGCAATTGGTAATTAAATATAATATTTTTGTCCTAAAAAGTGTAAAATTTTGGGAAAAAAAATTTCAAGAAAAGTAATTGTCACGCACAACGAGTCTGTGTGGAAAATGTCAGCTCGATTGGATCACGGGAAGTGGGTTAAAAAACGACCGAAAGATTTGCACGGTCGTAAGCGCGCACGCAAGCAAGCAAGTGAACTTAATATAAAGGATTTATAAAGAACACGATCGAAGAGTGTCAAGCAAGCTCGGGGCAGCGAGAACCCACTTTGAAAAACCGCCACCGGGTTGGCGTCGAAATAAGTCCAGAAGCGCCCGCCGCGACGTGGACGAGATTCATAAATTTGTTTTGGAAGCCGTCGGCATCCTCGAGCAACGCCAAGCAGAAAAGCGCTCCAGCCAGCAGCACTGCGGAAGCTGGAAGACGTGCCGCGCGCCGGCGGTGTTATTCACAGCGGCATGCCAAGGGTCAGCCCATTAGTGGCCCCGTGTTGTACGCGAGGGCACAAAGCCCTCAAGGAAAAACTTGGCGGGCGAACCAGAAGCATTCCGCACCCGCGAAGGATAGGTTCGTGCAGACGTAGAATGGCGTACGATCTTGCCAGTTGTTTTTGCACGAGAGAGGTTAGATGAAGATATGAATGCAAGAGCTCATCTTCTTGGTTCTTTCGGTAAAAGTCATGTAGAATGAAAATAATACAATTTTATATTATTTTATTATGTTTTATTTCTATTATGTTTTATTTTTATTATTTTATTATTTCCATTCTACGTGACTTTACCGAAAGAACCAAGAAGATGAATCCCTGCAGTCACGAAAGCTTTAAATCGAAATTTAATGCAAGAGCTGTCCATGTAACAATGTTGTCGCCCTTAGGAGTAGTAGGAGGCTTGTCTTCATCACAGATTTAGTATGCAGATGAGACTGACCTGTCTTGAAAAAGATCCGTCTTCCAACTCACTATTGGCCGAAATAATTTCTAAGTATTCCTTTAAAATTGTCACGCATGTAGCATTCACTCGCTTTGGAAGAGAGAGAACGACTCGGAGGTGCGAGGAACCACAGAAAAGCGGGAAGGCAGCCACGCGGTGAGCTGGCACCAACGTTCGCCCAAGCTCTGCAGTCCTCTATATATGAAGGTGTCATACGGACAATTCATGAGTATTTACACGTGGGAAAACACTCTATCCCATTAATTTTTGCCGGACTGCCTTCTCCTGGCAAGCCAGGGTATGACGACCACCGCCTCGATTTCCGCGGTAAGGGAGTTTTACGACATTTGTGCGGTTCACCAATCCTCGACCTCCACAATATGGGTTCACACGCAAGCACGCACCACCGACCAATCAGCCGGCTAAGCTGCGGATGCTCCTGGATCTAAATGTAAGAGGAAAGAACATCTCGCCAGATTGGCATGCTTACCACCTTTCCTACACTTTGCGCTCCTATCGCGACTTTTGTATTGTTTGTTGCTGTATCTTCCCAACCCGCCACTACTGGACACCTGTGAAAAATAGATTTATTTAGCTCATACTTAATTTGGAACTTTCGTGACTGCAGGAATTACTCTTTGGTTCTTTCGGTAAAGTCACGTATAAAAAGAAAATAATAAATTAAATACTAGCATACGACGTTTCGATTGAAACACAAGCAATCATCATCAGGTATAAATGAAATAGAAACAAATCTAGTATACTTAGAAATGTAATGTAATACAACCGAGAGTCGGATAACATAACAGTCAACACCCTACCTGGTTGATTACGTTCTTCCTGAGAATGCTAAATTTGAGAGATTCCTCCTGCAGCATGAACAATGATTGTGATTCAATGCCGGAGCAACGCTATCAATCGCCTTGAACCGACTCGTGTGGGAAATCTGAAGAAGCCGAAAAACCTCAAGGGCGTTAGTGAGGGCAGCGTTTGCCTCCCAGCAACTATGGCCAGGTGAGGGTGTGGTTTGCTCGTGGACTGGCTGACTTTCAAAGAACAATTCTTCAAGCGTCACGTGGCAGCTGCACAGAAGACCGTGTCCCAATGGGCGTGTTTCCAAAGCGAGTGGTGCTTCTGGCTGTAAATGTCTCTGAACGTTTGACCTGAGAAACAGTCAAGAATTTTTTTTTAACCGTTTCCCATTCGGAGGCATCCGCAAGTTGCAGGGTGGGTCCCATTCACCGCTGAATCTCGGAAGGCGCGAGACCGATTCAGCGTTCATTTTATTTAGAGAGACGCAGAGCGGCGCTTTTTGAAACAAATTTTACATCACCGCGGAGAACTCAAATGACGCGCCTGCACTCCATGATAGCTGGCGCTAAACTGTGTTTTTATCTTATGATGCACACGTATGTCATCGGAATGGGAAAGAGTTAACAAGCATTGATGAGAATCAAACCCGAGTCCAATGCTTCAGGAGAGTATCAACTGAAAATAAGATGGACCAACTATTACATGCCATGTTAATTTCACTGTAAATGTTGCTCATGTAAGTGTGGCCTTTGCAAAAAAAAAAAGTTATTTCATGACAGAATTCCAAAATGACCTTTTCAGGTTTCAAATACATGTGCTAAAGACGAAAACAGCTCAATTAAATGTCCTTTGCTTATACTTGTTCACATTACACCTTAATAAGTAAAAATAAAATCACAACATCATAGACTCAAAGAATCCCTGATGATAACCGACGGGACTATTTAACAGCCACTGTCATAAACATGAACTAAAGTTCTCCTGGGAGATCAAATTAGATACAGTAATTAAGGCTCTATTCTCAGTCTGCAGCACACATCCTAATAGGTTCATAAATTGTAATCCAGTGGGACAAACATTAAAAATATCACAAGGCTCCTGGAAGGAATACTATAAACATACTAGTACAGCAAGCGAGCTGAGCCAAAGCTTCTCCCCACCAGCTGGACACAAAAAGGGCCTTTGGTTGGTGACCACTTCTGTTGGTGGCCTTGAGCCAGTGACTGGGACACGTGCCCATCACAGAAACTCGCCCATTCATAGCACAGCCAATCAGAACCTCTCACCAATCTGTATTAATTTTATGAACCTTTGAGGGTGATGATGGGCCGAGCCAACGCCCTGACCAGAAATCTTGAGCTCGCAGAACCAAAGTCGGAGCAATGGCAGACTCCAATGAAAAAACCAATAGCGATGGAGATGAAAACCCATCGTCAAGTGATAAAATACGATCGTCAAGCGATACAATATTAATAATGGCACAAGATTTTCATACTTGTGAACTTGTTAATGTTAATCCACACGAAGAAGGCGATGCCCTTTAAAACAAACTTGAGATGTTAAGATAAAAAACAACGTAGCAGGTAACATCCGAACAAAATAGTCAAACGATTAATTAAACCAAACGGATAGGGACCGCGGATCACCGAGCCATACAAAATGTACTGGGGGAGCTCATGTTTGAAATCCCTCATCTACGAAGTTTGCAAAGGACCATTCTGAATAAATAGCATCCTTGTGTTC